TAACCCTAAATTTTATTAAAAGAAATTATACATAGGTGCTAAAACACCATAGGTGCGTTTTATAATAATTCTAAAAAAACATCTAGAAATGAACTAACCTTGAATCATAAAAGAATATTAGAGTATAAAATGCATTATTAGTCTCTTATCGCGTATCGTGTGATCAATAAGAAAAATCTATTAATAAAATATAGAATCTTAAAGAAACAAAACAGTACATATGCATATCTTTTTTCCATTAGTTCGTTTCAATTCTCTCTATATATAGCTAACTTTTAGCTTTTCACGAGTTAAAACTAATCATCGTTGCGAGTTAAATAGTCAAATAAGTTATATTTTGATGTACTGATCGAACCATAAATTACGGCGATTTAGATACCAACATGGATATATTAACTTTTACAAAACAAAAAAGCAATAAAATCTCTACTTTGCCTTCTATTAAAAATACACAAATAACTGCCTGATGTTGCCCACCAACTATGATAATCAAGTATTGTTGTATTTTCTATGGTTTCGTTTTGTGGTTTCCAATCTAATGGGTTATAACCTCCGATTATTTTTCCATTTCTTGCAAATTTTGAGATAGTTACGGTTGGTCCCTTTCTATCGCATAATATATGAAAATTTTCAACTTCGAATCCATTCTCACTTGCTCTATATAATAACTTAAATTTATAAGGAAATTGCGTTTTGTATATTTGTGTATTATTTCTATCTATCCAGCTAGAAATCATTGCAAAGTGTTCTACTCCTAAAAGTTTTGAATCTATATGAGGAATTCTTGGTGGCAAAATTATTGATTTATTTTCAATTTCTTTTTTAAAATTAAATTTTTTGATATTTTCATAAAGTTCTGACGGTAAAATAATTTCAAACAATTTTTGAAATTTTAAAAAATTTTCATTTGAAATTTGAAACCATCTAATTAATGGAATAAATTCTTGTAACGTTCCTTTTATAATACTTAAATCTTCCGATGTCAATTCTAAAATATCTTCTATGTTTAAAGTTCTCAAAGATTGAGTAATAGCATATTGAATCATGAATTTACATACTTCCATTTCATCTATAGCAAGATTTTCTTGTTGAAGTATTAGGCGTAAAAGTGATTTATCTATCGTGTAAAAATTTGGTGATTTAAATAGCACACCTGGGTCTTCTGCCACACGGTTCAAACAAAAATCTCTTAATTTTGAAAGTTCTTCATGACGAAATACGATTTTAAGAATTTCTAAATAATTATCTGTTAAAAATTCAATTTTTTTATCAAATAAATATGATTGTACGTATTCTATTAATTTTTGTAAATCTAATTCATCTGCTGCTATTAAAAGCTTTAACACATTCATTCCTTCTTGAGTTTCCAAATCAACTTTTGCTGTATATAAATATCTTTTTTAATACAAAAAAATAAATAAATAAATAAAGTTAAATATAAACAAAATTTTAAAAAGTTAGAATTTGAATAAATACTTGCTTTAATAATAGCTTAAATATATTAGGGCAAATATTCGATTTCTTAAAAATTATTATTCCATCTTGTTTTCTTGCCCAATTATTTGATAAAGCTGCTCGAAAATATGGCGATCTGGTGCTTAAAATAATTGAATGTGCTCGAAATTCTTGGATTTCGGGACTTTCTCCGGCTTGAATTAAAACATCATAATTATTTCCACTTTCAAAAAGTTGTTCAAAGTTATAAGAAAGGTCTGAAAGTAAATTGCGAGTAGTTATCATTTTAAAATTTGATTTTATTTTTTGGGGAGATTTCTTTTATTACACGTATTTATTAGAACTACGTAAATAAGGATGTGACGCAACATACTCCAAAAATAGTAAAAGCAATAGAAGTAAGGGGCTATCCCCTGATCTCAGACGTCTCAGTTTTTTCTTTCCATAAAAATCTGAAAAATACGTCATACATAGGTTTTTATGCTATCATTATCGCTATAATTTTATAATTCGATGCAACTAGGTTCGAAACAAACACCCTTGATCATGTATTCTCATTTAAGGCGACAAAATTACAAAAAAAATTGATCAATTCGATCCGCCCATCTAAGACAGTTTCTTCATGGTACTGCTCATATGTTCTCTAAATGTAACGTTGTTAATTGGTACCATACGCTGGAACATTCTCAGCCTAGACTGGAGTGAGTTATCAAATGTTTTAAACAGAATATTCAACCCAGTTTGTTCAAAACTGGGATATTACAGATTAGAACTTAGTAGTTCAAGTTGGTTTTGGTTGAAGATAAGCTAACCCATTAACTAGGGTTGTTAATGGAACAGCAAACTCCGGAGCAACCCGAATTACACACCAGTTTAAGGTTGAGATTTCAAGAATTATATAATAACCCGGAGCAAAGCTATTTTTTATAACCCGGGTTGCTCCATATGGAGTGACCTCCAGG